TCTTCACTGTTGGCCACTTTCCTTTGGCTTCCGATTCTCCTGACTTTTATATACACATCCCATTTCAGTCACTGGGCACAGAAACAATCGAAAACAGATGCACTTCCATCTAGGGAGTCACCACATGGCTGAGCTCAAGAGTTCTGCGATGTCATCTTGTCTGACTCCTTCCTAGAGTTCAGGAAAGAGGCTTTTGCCCTCTGGCTCCAAGGGTTACTTGGACATGGTGGCAAAGTGTCCTGACCTTTCAGAGAGGGTAGATGTTGGACTACTGTATGACCGAAAGACAGGTGGTTGAACACTTCCAGGTCTCTGAATCTGTTGCTAGGTTTTGGGTACAGAAGCGAGGAAAGCAAGAGAAGGAAGAGGCAAGAAATGGCATGAGCTGGCTACACCAGGAGGCCTGGCACCCTTAGGGGCTGCTCTTTGCCCTACAGAATCTAGCCAGCAACAATTACCTTAACCTGGGCAGCTCCTGGAAGGCTGAGTCAGCCTCCCTACACAGAGGAGCCAAGGGCACTGTTCTGAAGGTACCTGGAGGTACAGTAGAGTGGCTTCTGGTTGTGACCATCAGCACCTAGGACTTGGCTGCTTGGGGACCACCTAGCATCTTATCAGTGGGTCCTACCTGCTGGTATGTAAGCCAAGGCTGAGGTTCTGTGTCTGTGTCATCACCACTTTGCTGGAACTGCTCCTCCCTGTCATGGCACGAGAGTTTCTACCCAATGCAGGGAGGGTATTTCTATCTATCTGAGTCCCTACGGAAGGTAGCAAGCTGCCCTTGGAGGTGTGTAGTCAGAGGTGGCTGGGACAATGGTTAGACCAAATGTCCTTTTGGCCTCTCCCTTTTAGGTTGACACAGCTCTAGTGAGCATTCACCACATTTCCAAAGAAGCAGGTATGACAGCTTCCCTGCCACTGTCCCCAAAGACCCCTGGACTTTCTTCCCATCTGCTTCATTGTGTCTGCCCATAGAATGCGAGTTGTATGAAGAGAGACCTTGACCCTATCCCTAGTGCCTAGCACATGGTCAGTCTTGATTCAAGACAGCCATATTGAATGGGACAAGAAAATAGAAAGTGGGTGGCCTTGTGCCCATGGAAATCGAGGTGGTCTTAATGCCTGTTCCAGGTGGTGCTCACAAGGAGGCCTTCCTTCCTTGGGCCGGCTACAGTCCCTGCAGTTTCACCCCGTGTCCCTCCATCTGTCCTTCCTGTCTCTTTAAGGCACTTTAAGTCCCCTTCCTTTTCCTGTGTGTGTGTTGGGGGAGGGGCTGTGGAGCTACAGGAAGGAGATTTGTTTGTAGGTCCTAAGCTTTAGTAACAAGCAGAAAGAGAGGAAGCTACGGGCTGCCTAGATCCAGGCTGGTGGGTCACTCACTTGGGTTTAGGGCCATAGCTGCCTGAGACTGAGCTCCAGGCAGAGCTTAGAGGCAGGAGGTCATTGTACCCAGTGACTTCCTAAGATGGTCCAGTGGCAGGTGCAAGAGTCACTCCCAGGTGTACTGACCCCAGGCCTGGGCTTCAGCCATCTCCTATTGCTGCTGGCAAGGGAGTCTGAACAACTGGAAGAGGCTCCTGGTCTGGAGGCATTATGGGAAACAGCTGATCAGGCAGACAGGAGAAGGGCCAAGGGACAGACAGACAGACCTAAGGGCAGGCAGGCAGAAGGGCAGGCAGGCAGAAGGGCAGGCAAAAGCTTGGGTTGAGTTAGATATCTGCTCTGTGTTGGGGCTGAATGTCCTCTAGGTTTCAGCCACAACTGGCATGCAATTAACTGGATGGATGGTTTGCTCCCCAGCAGAGGCTGTGCTCAAGTTCACCTTAGGGAAAAAGGAGATAGGTTTTCTTTGGAGATGCTTGGCTGGAAGGAAGATAGAACTTTCACCTCTACCCCTTTATGCTAATAAAGCAGCTCTTATTTTAATAAAGATCCAAGCCTCCAGCAGGTAGTTCACAAGAAATAAATATGGAAGATCAATAAACAAATGAAAAAGTGCTCAAATTTATTCATAATTAAAGCAACGCAAATTAAAGCAACAATGAGATAGATATCATTTTTCACCCAGCAAAATGATGCCTTTTGAAAAGTTCCATCACGTTTTCTGTTGATGAGGCTGTGAAGAAAAGCATTTTCCTCCCCTCCGTGGCTCTCACTTGGTGCAACCTCCTTGGAGGGGTCTTTTGCGGTTTGGGTCAGTATGACTCAAAATCATCAGCACATGCCTGGACCTGACAATTCCACTTCAAGCACCTGCTTTAAAAATACATCTGTACATGTGTGCAAAGAGACATGCTCAGAAGTCCTCAGCACTATGTTGTTCACAAAAGCAAAAAGCTCTAAGCATTCAAAATGCCCTGGGTGGGTGGAGGGAGGCAGTAGGGCTTAAAAGAAATTTGTTACTTCTTTTATGACATGGTGATCAAAGCACACTATTCATCTTAAAAAGTGAGTTTGAGAACGGTATGTACCTTAGATACAAGATGTCATTTGTATAAAGTCTGCACCTACTACAAATACATAAACATGCATATAAACCAGACATGCTCTGGACCCTTCCTTCCCCTTCCTAGAGACATCCTTCTAACTTCCAGGTGAGAACTTTTTGGCCTCCTTCTCTGGGAGCCTGCCACTGGGGTGTTGGGTTTCTGTAGCCCACCATGCACACTTAACCAAATACCCAGACACCATATAAGGGTTGGCAGATCGCTCTGTACCCTGAGTACTTGCCCTTTGTGCTTTAAAGATTAGCACACCAGATAGTGAGGCTTTTCAGAATGTTTGGATTGCAAGTGTAGGCCATTTCAGAGGGAAATTATGATGTAGATGTAATTATGAAAAGGTTAACTTATTAGAGATGTACTACAGATAAGTTTAAGGTCATGGAGCAAATTCTGTCTTTCACCTCCTAACCATCCTTGGCACCCAGTGAAAGAGAAGCAGGCATGCTAAGGGGAGCACAGAGATTGGGAAAGAAGTCTCCCCACTCTGTTTGCATGGCTTCAAGTGGTGGGTTCCTAGACCACCAGGGGGCAGTGCCTTCACATGTGCAAGGGCTCAGTGTCCCAGGAAGTCCCATTGGGTCAAGGCCAGTTGGCCTTGAGAGGCGAATCTGTTCTGGGATTAGTAGCTCAAGGCCTTGTGGCAAACAAGCAACAGTACCATTGCATTCTACTGACTTCTGAGGGTTCCTCCCTACCCACCCACCCTGTGGGGAGAGAACTCTTAGCTCCACTGTCCAGCAGGCAGATTAAGGCCCAAAGAAGGGAAAGACTTGTGCAAGGTCAAATCTTGAGTTCATGAGGAGGATGGGCATGGCATGGAGTTACCACATAAAATACAGGCTATCCAGTTAGATTTGAATGCCACATTACCCATGAATAAGTTTTTAGTGTAAGACTATCCCAAATGTTGCATAATAGTAACTCTAAAATAGTTTGTTTATATGACATTCAAGTTTACTTAGCATCCTGTAGTTTTATTTGCTCCATCTGACGACTATAGCTGTACAGAAACCTAAGGCTCCTGCTTCCTGAACTCCTGAATCCTACCACTTGCACTCCGGAGTTTCTCTGCTCCTAGGAGGGCCTCTGGAAGGCTCAGGTTTCATTGCAGCTGGTCCACTGGAGCTGGCAAAGGAAGAACTTCTTTTTCTGGCAGGGCAGAGCCTGTCTATCTATTCTAGTTCTGCACTGCACTGCACAGGTGAGGCAGGAGTAGGCAGGCAGCTCCTGACCTTGCCACTCTCTCAGCTAGTCTTGGCCTCTCCCTTTCCTTCCTCCCTCTCTTCCTTTCCTTCTCTTCTCCACTTCCTTCCTTTCCTTTCTCTTTTCCTGCCTCCTTCTTTCTTCTCTTTCCAGCTGGTCTCCGCTTCCCCCAGGGATTCTGTGACTGCTCCTTAGAGCCAAGCCTTGACCACTGGTAGTTGTATCAGTCAGAATTCTCCCAAGAAACATAACCAACAGGACGCATGCACGTATGTACGTGCACATGCGTAGGCACATAGAGATTGCTTTGAACAATTGGTCATGTGCCCGTGGGGCTGAGGTCTGTAGGACAGGCTGGCAGGAGCTGATGCTTCAGGCTTGAGGCAGACTTTCCTCTTCCTCAGGGAAACCTCAGTCTTTGCTCTTACAGCCTTCCATTGATTGGTTGGGGACCAGCATATTACTGAAAGCAATCTGCTTGACTTAAAGTCCACTGACTGTAGGTGCTAACCACAACTACAAAATACCTTCCCTGCAACAAGTGGTTAGTGCACTCACTGGGGACTAGAGCCTGGTCAAGTTAACACATGAAACTGACTGTCATAGTGTCTAATCAGTAGGGGAACTAAGGGAAAATTGAGACTCAGACTGGGCGGTGAGGACCCAGGGCCCCGGGGGTGCCAGAAGCTGAGGCAAGTTCCTCCTCTTTTTCTCTTTCCTCCCTTGGTTCTCATGGTTCCTTCCCAGGCTTAGCTCAGAATGAGGTTTCTCTCCCCTGCCTGGGAACACTGCGTCGGGGAGGCAGGATGTGCTTTACAGAAAATCCCTTCTGATAGAGTGGCGTGGCCTGGATTATTGGCCAAAGCTGGGGTCGAAGAAACCACGAAGGCCTGACTGACTCTGCTTTGGCCATGGACTGATGTTTGGGCCCTGCGCTAGTTCTTGCCTCTCCCTAGAAATGATGGAGAGGGGATCCCACCTACTCACCCCCTGAGCTGCTAAATGATGGGATGGTGAGCCAGGGAAGTTCTCAGAAGCAAAGGCTCTGAGATGTATCTCTTCTTCTAAGTTGCTTACAGAGTAGCAGAGGAGAAGGCCACAGCCCAGCCCATAAGATACAGCAGGAACAGAAAGTGCCAAGTCCAAGGTCTGAGCCCAGAGAAGGGGTTTGGCTCCACCCCTATGTCTGGGTATATCTTTCTTGACAACCTCCACCCCTGGAAGAGGTACTTTTCTGAGTGCCTCCTCTGTGCCTTCCACCCTGTGACGCGACCAAGTGAGTGATGGGCAGTGATGGCAGGAGCACCCCTCAATATCAAGGAGGAGATTGAAATGTCCATGGCTGAAGAGCTGATGCCTGCAATTATCCTTGGGCAAACCCAAGATCCCCTGGTGATAGCAGGTGAGGTTCCACTAAAGTGCTCCTCGGCTACAGCCAACCAGTGCACTTAGGCATTGTGTGTGTATGTTGGATAATTTATATGTATACGGTACTCGTGTGTGTGTGTGTGTGCTGGAGTCTTGGAGTATTTACGTCCTGGGTGATCAGGGAGCCGGGGATGGGGAGATAGATCATGTCAGCATTTTGTAGCCCATAAGAGAGAGGGTAGGAACAACATGTGTAGTTCCTCTGTCTCTCTCTCGTCTCAGCCACCCCTCTGTCCATTGCAAAAATTTGAGGGGCTGTTCTTGGGGTCTCTGTTCTTCTCTATAGAAATGATGGAGCATGGATCTCGGTCACCAGGTGTCTCCCAGAGGCGCCCAAAGTTGGAACCAAAGGTTGTTGGCACTGCACCCAAATCAGTTTGGAGTATGACTGCCACCAGGCCCAAGAAGATGGTAATGTCTATGTCCATGGTGAACAATGGCTGGCCTGGGGTTGGGAGTACTGGTTTGGGGCCACTGCCCGACCCTGGAAGACCAAGCAGGACAGAAGTTGATTGTGGGTAGTCCACAATCTTTATACTAATGAATGGGTATCCATTCATTAGTTTGCTTTCAAATCTCTAAAACCATTTTTCATCATTCTGATTTCATCCTACAGGAAAATCTCCTTGATTTTGGAAATTGTATAAAATACTAGGAAGGAAATCCCCCTTACAATCCTAGGGCCTCCTTGACACCCACTGTCATTTTCATGCTAGTTTTGAAGTATCTTAAAGAGATCAACTATGACAGTAAACAAAAATCACAGCAGTATCTGTGTGCACCTTTTGTGAAAAATACATTTGGTATTATTGCAACAAACAGAGCCTAGTGGCAAAGTTCCTAAGAAAATCCTTTCCATGACATGGTTCCACTTGCAGTTTAATATTGTAGCCTACGAACAGAGGAGGGCTGTGGATCTCTCTCGGGTGACAGCTGAGCTCTGGCTGTCTGTTCATATCTAAGAATGAGGCCAGTAGAAGACGTAACCCAGACCTCTGCACGCCTGGGTCAGGCCTGCCGGGAGGCAGGTTCTACTTCAATATGGCGAGTGGGCGAGGAACAGGCTGGCATGCGAGATACTCCTAAGTCTCAGAAAGAAAAGAATTTTAATTTGTAGCGCTATCACCTCAGCTTTCTTACTCACTTGGCTTACTCCAGCCAGGTGGAGTGAGAAGTGTGTGTGCCTGTCGCTTAGTGGAGACTTAAGAGGAAGCATTTTGAAAGGCATGTAGTGGAATGGTTAAGAGGGCAACCTGTGAGGCAGAATGCCTCGGGCTCAAACTATTGGCTCTACTAGCTAACTGTGTGACTTGGGTGAGTTGCTTAACCTCTCTGTTTCTTTCAAAATGAGATGAGAATAACACTTGTTTCACAGGGTGGTGACCAGGATTCAGTGACTTGAGATTGTTAGAGGATGTCCATAGTTCCTGGTGGGTGGTAAAGTGTGTGTGAAATAGCTCGTCGTGAACTAGAAACCTACAGCTGTATTTGAACCCAGCCAGGTCTGGCACTGGCAGCCATGTTCTGCTCCTGTAGCCCACACTGCTCTTCAAAGGTACCAGATGCCTCTGGCCCGAGACATACACTCTGAGGAGTCACTAACACATGGTGGAGGATCAGATATCACCTGACTCCTATGGGGTGCACCACGGGGTTGGTTTGGGCACAGTGTGGAGAAGCTACTTGAGATGGGGTTGAGCAGGTGACTTGGAGTGGCCCTTCCTTTTTGTAGGTGCACCACCTGCAGATACCCAGAATTCCGAGAGAGCCAGGCCACGGTGATGCCCATATCCAGGAGACTTCTGGCAACTTCCAAAGCATAAAGTTCCACCATGAGTGGTAAGAGCTGGAGTGCCTTGGGCCCTGGCTGCCTAGGCATATTGGGGTTCTGTTACCTCCTGGCCATTTGGGACCCGTGAGTATAGCCCTCAGGCCCTAGGCTCCCTTAACCTCAGAAAGGAAGGACTTGGAGGCTGACTGAGTCACTGTCCAAGAAGCCCCCACTCTTACCTGCTTGCCCTTGGTCCTGCCCAGGGCCACCAGCAACTCTGACACTCTATCTTTACTTTTTTCCTCTAGCAGCCCAGAAGCAGATGTGGCAGCTGAGATTGGCCTGGAAGAGGTCGACGGACTGGAGATGGAAGTTATAAAAAGACAGGTAAGCAGCTTCTGGGCCTTGGATCCATTTGGCAGGTGTAGGCAGAATCATGGTGTCTTGGGGTGGGTGGCTGTGAGAGCTGTGAGTGAACTCACCCAGGCTTCCTTGTCACCCTGCGATGGAGTGGCCTCTTGCAGAGAGCTGTAGTGAGCACTGAGGGAGGGGCAAGGCAGCCAGCCTTCTGTCCCACCCCTGAGGCCATGCCAGGTCCCTGGTCCTTACCCAGGGGCAGTTTGGCCCACTGAAGGGCAGCAAAGCTCCTTGTTTTAATTTCATACATTTCCTCACCGATTCACCCTGGCATTCCAGGAAGAGCACCGCTTACCAGTCCTGCTTTTGGTTCCTCCACAGCTGCATGCGCTCACTGGGCGTCTGCGCATACTTGAGGACCAAGATGCTACCTGGCGCTACAAGGAGACCATGCTGTTCACCCTGCTGGTGTCGGCCTGTTTTGCCAACATATGGTTGTGGATGCGCCAGTAATGCATGCCAGCCACCACGGCCCTGCTGGAGCTCTCCCCGCTTCCCCTCTTTCCTTTTCTCCCTCAGTCACCCTTGCTTGCCCTTTTCTTCCAGCTCTCAGCAGCCCCCAGGCATCATCAGGGCCATTTTACAACTCCAGTCAGGCCCCCTGCCTGGGATGGTGAACACCCTGCATTGGGAGGTCCCAACTGCTGGCAGTCGGGAGGACCTCCATGTGACATTACAGAGGTGTACATGGACTGAGATGCCGCTCTTTTTGGAGGGAAAAAGAGTGGCATGGGCCACTGCAGCAACACCAGCTCAGGCCTTCTTGGGCCTTGCCTCTGTTTACTCTGGCATCCCTTCTGTTCCATCCTCTTTGGGCAAGGTTTGTCTTGGTCTTCCTCCCCCATTTGCTTCCACATAGTACACACTGCTCTGCTCAAAGAATGCAGTCATTAAAGGTTCAATGCTAGCATGGAAACCTGGCGTGTGAGTTTCATCCAAGACAGTGACAGTGGAGTGTGTGTGTGCTGGGGAACAGCCACTCCTGTCAAAGGTCTTGTGCCTGGGACTGAGCTGCTTCCATCACCCTAGGGGCCCCAGTGCTCTCTCTTCCCTTCCTCACCCCCACCATCTCCGGCCCAGGCAGGGCTTCACAATGTCCTCCCTGTCACTGTCATGCCAATGAATGCTGAGAGGAAGCAGTTCTTTCAGCCCAGGCAGTGCAGGGATGCAGTCAGGAAATCTGGAAGGGACCAGAAACCAGTCCGCTTGCCCAGAAGGAAGAGCTATTGTCTCTTTAACTAGGACCAAAGGCCCAGTACATCTGGCTGGGGGTGGGAACCCAGAGCTTTTGCATTGGCTTTGTGGCTAAGTAGACCTTTCCAAGGCCCCCAAATATGTTTATGAAGATGGGGGAAGGTGTCACCAGATACAATATGAGCACAAGAATCTGAGCGAGGCAAGGGAGGGAATGGAGGGCAGAGGGCGCGAGAGGAAGGAGGGAAAGAGAAAAGCAGACAGACAGAGATAGGGAGGGTGAGGAAGGGAAAGAAAGGGAGAGGGAGGGATTGGGGGCAGCTGAGAGAGAAGAGGCTTGAGTCCCAGAGCCTGATCTTGCAGTACTGGCCACCTCTCTTGGATACTCAGTGGGGCCCAAGAGGGGAATCCCTCAGCCCTGACACTTCAGGGATTACAATGCTTTTGAGATGAGGATGCAGGACCTCCTTTCAGCTCCGTGGGGTCCTGTGCATGTGGCCCCTGGAGTCTCGGCCCTGCTGAAAGCTGAGACAAGGATATATAGTTGTCAGATTCTCTCTCTGGTCTCAGAGCAGAGGGCTACTGGAGTGCCAGGAGCAGCCCCTGTGCATAATAGCATCCAGTTACAGGCACTTTTTGCCAAGAGAGTCAAGAGGAACTAGAAGAACAGAGAGTGCTCCCTGTTCCCCTCCAATGGACCCTGAAGACTCAGGAATCACATAAGAGCTTGAAACAAGGTTGGGAGACCTTCTTGCAGGCCACCCCTCCCACTATCTGCAGTCTGGAGACAGTGGGACCAAGAGGTACAGAAGTGTTCAAGAAAGCAGGGAGATGGAACAGTCCACCTGTTTAGACAGAGGCAGCAAGTGGCACTTCCTGCCACCAGTATAATACTCCTACAGCCTGTGGTGCCAAGAGGCCTGACCTCACACAGTCCTCATAAGGTGCTCCTTTCTTCTGCCCCAACTGGGTCCTGCAAGGAAGTTCTGGGGAAGAGAGGATTGCAGCCAAGTGGGGCCAAGTCTGCCCTTTGGGATCTGGGTGTGTGTGTGTCTGCACAGACACAGGCATGTTTGCAGAGACGGTCTGGTTGAAAATATGTTGTGAAACAAAGGTTCCTCCTGGGAGCAATTTAGCTGAGTTGCAAACAAACAGCTTGGTGGCCCCCCTGGAGGAACATCTCCTGAGCTAGGTAAACTCAGATGGAGCACTTGACTGGGCTCTGGCTGTGTCTATATCCTGCTCTGCAGCGTGGTCTACTAAGGACACCTCAGAGACCCCGTAAGGGGAAGTGCAGTCAGCAAAGACCATCATTGGGCTCTTCTTCAGGGCTCCTTAATGGGTACCAGGATAGTGTTATGAGAACAGGACCCCAAAAGGCAGGTTGGCACCCCTGCTCATCCCCGGGGCTGTGATCCATTTGTCTCCCTGATTAGGTTCCACTGCCACGCTGCCCTCAGCTTGCTTAAACGCTCCATCATGAGCGTAGCCTTTCTCCCAACAAGCAGCGAGTGCTCTGTGGAGAAGCAGTGTGCTGAGGGTGAAGGGAGGACGGAGGACCTCACGTACACTTAGGCCCCAGGGGAGAGCCATCTGCAGCATGTGTAGTGCTTACTTGGGAAATTTCCATGGACCGCCCAGGCTTGGTATTAGAGGGGTACCCAGTCAGCCCATGACTGGATCATTGGCTCCTGGAAGTCAGGGGCTAGCTTCCATCATCATTGGTGCCCAACAAACGGGAAGGGCTGGTGATAGGCCATTAGCCAGGGTCCCCAGAGAGCAGTTCTAGCTGTGGGCATACCCATTTGGCCTTTAGGATGTGCATTCTGTAGAAACACCTTTCCCATCAAAGCCAGCCAATCTGGCCATCACTTTCTATGGTGCACCTGCTATGTACCATACCCATTGCGTTTAAAAAATATTTAATTATACGTGTCATGCATGAATCCATTTCTGAAAAAAGGCAGACATTAGCTAACACAGCCCCCTGCCACCCAATGTCAAGCCCCTCCCATGGCTGGCTTGACTTGTGTCCCTGCAAACACTCTATGTTGTTCCATGCAAATTATGTATACTTGTATGTGCCCCAAGCTTTGCGCATAGGAGGTCATTTAGGCCTCCCTGCTTAGAAATCTGAGAGGGGCTTGTCTCCCAAGCCATCTATGCAGGTGTGGAAAGTGGAGGGTTTTGATTGTGACATCCCAACTGGGCTGGCCCCTAGTCCTCTGCCAGCCAGTGGCAGAAGCTGAAACCCAACATTCCAGTTCTCAGTTTGGCTTCTTAGCAGCTGGGGAAGGTGGGCAGAGGAAATTGGGGCTATCATGGAAGGTGACACGGACGTGCAGGGAGAGGCTGTGGTGTACTTAGGAGCAGCTTGAAATAAGAACTCACAGACTTACTGCCCCAAGACTCTTGCCTCTTCCCCTTCCTCAATCCCAGCCGCTCTTGGAGGCCAAGTCCAGGGGATCTTGGGCAGAAAGGATGGATTTGTCTATGAGGGCAGCCTCACCCTGGGTTTCTCTTTTCTCTCTTCGAGTTCTCCTTGGCTTGGCACCCAGTTAGGAGGTCTGGCTGGGATTGTGTCAACACCTCAAGGCAATTGCATGGTGGCTGTGAGCTGGCAGCCTTCAGTCTCTAGACACAAAGCCCTGAGTTCACTCAATGCAAGGGAAGGTCCCTTGGGGAACTAGGGAGGGGCCGGCTCCTGGCTCTGGGCAGGCAAGCAGTTCCTACAGCTAGACAGCCCTGTATCCAGCCTTACGCTGCTCCTGCAGTCTGGGGTGTGTTAGGAGCCCCTGCGGACAGCCTCTTCAGTGGGCAGGTGACACCTGGCCAGGGTCTGGAGCTCATCTTAGCTGTGGGCATGAGCTCTTCTGAGTCTCTGCTGGTTTCGGCTGCTGGGATCAAGCAGGGTGGGGCAGTTCTTTGACTGAGAAGCTGTCAGATACTTGGGAGTTCAGGGATCCACTGGCTGGGGGACAGGAGAAGCAGGAGATCTCTGCTGGTTTCAGTGCTCATGAACCCCCAAGGGCTTCTCTCTGACTGGAGGTTGTGGGGGTGAACCAACAGATGTTGACTGACCACGGAACTCCTTGCCTCTGAAGCCATCTGACTGGTAAGGAGAGGGGCTGATGTTTTCTTGTAGCCACAGGCTGGTGGCTTCTGTGGGGGTCAAGGCTGGAGCCTATGAATGTGTTCAGCCCTAGAGTTGGGATTGATATTGACCCTCATGTGTTTGGCTTGCCCAGGAGGCTGAGGATAATGGCTGTGTGGGGAAATTTTGTCTCCTATCAAGGTGGCTTTAATGAAATCTTTGGGGTGTAGGAGTGTGATGGCAGTGAGTGCCACACTAGGTTTGCCTGGAGGTACCTAAACTGTTGCCCTCTTCCAGAAAGGCGATAGGGAAGGTGAATGGGGAGGCTTGGAGCAGAGTTGTTGAGGGCTAAGCACAGCTTTGTGGGAGAAAGTGGGGAGCCTGTAGGGCTTATCACTGCACCTGCCTCCACTGCGTACCTGGTGCAGAGCACATTCAGTGTGTCACTTGGAGCTCCATGGCTCTCTGTGTAAGAGTAACCATGGTGACGGGAGGGGTTCCATGGTGCTGGGATTATGGCCTTTGCTTTTGGTCTTTTGAGCCCCACCCTGGCCTCCTGGCTCCTCGGTCTTAGGAACCAACCTCTCTACCACTTGGAAAAATGCATCTGCAGTGAAGGCCTTGAAGCTTCTGCTTGAAGGAAGATTCTGGAGTCAAGTAGCAGATCTGGTGCAAGGACAGGCTCTCAAGGCTGCTGCTGATCCAGCATCCTGATTTGAATTTTCATCTTCCTGCCAGTGGCCAAGGACCCTGGGTTCATCCTTATCCACAGCTAGGTGTCCTCTAAATGTCCCTGGCCACCATTTGTCAGTCCCTTCTCCAGAGAAAGGGAAACTGAGAGTCTGGATAGAGAATATACACATGCCTTAAGTGGACCCCCAACTATGGTGGACAGAAGTCAGGTAAACCTTTAGGTCACTGTCAGAAGATGATAAATCTATGATTCAAATAAAAGTGGGGATAAATAAACATGAAACAGGGTGGGGGTTTGGAATGTGCAGAGCAAGTTGGGGAATTCCTTCATTCACCAATCCACTCATCCATTTGTCCATTCACTCACTTGCCAAACATTTATCAAGCACCTGTAATGTGCTTGCTACTTGCCTAGGCTCTGGGAATCAATGGCTAAACAAAACAGATAATTCCCTGCCCTTATAAAGTTTTTTTTCTGGTGTGAGGCCTTCTGTCCATAGCTTTAAAATGGAGAGTGACAGGCCCAGGTGTGGACCTATTGAACTTACCTTAGTGGTGGAGAAGGTAGACAGAAGGAAAAGCTGGAGATCTGAGGCTGGAGGAGCAATCAGTAGAAGGTGATGAGGGTGCAACACTTAGGGCAGCAGCAGTGAGGAGGGGTGGGGAAGAGGGTGCTGAGAGAGAGTTCAGAAGTAGAGTCAACAAGATTGGGGGGGTGGAGTGCGAGGTGTCAGGGATGATACCTAGGCTTCTGGATTGAGGACATGAAGGGAAAGATGTGCCTTTCTAAAGGTAAGACACTGGGAAGTAGGAGCTTGGGCTCAGGGGAAGAAGGTTGTATAACTTTGGGACTTGTGGAGTTCAAGGTCTCAGTGGCTGCTTCCAGAGATGGAGACGATGCAGCCACCTGGGGCTCTGGAGTTCACTGTGTACAGAAGGGTTCAGGGTATGAATTTCAATTGCCTGGGCCCAGCCTGACCTCTGTGGTAGCATTGTGGGAGGACACTTTTTTTTGGGTATGGCCTATGCATGTCTGATTCCAGCCCCATCTTTTTCTAGAAAAAGCAGCCCAAGAATGCAGGTTTCTGACATCGTAGTATCCACACTAGAAGTTCCAGCTCCTTGTCAAAGTAGGCAGCAACCAGAATGACTTACCAAACAAGCCTTTTGGGCAAACCCTGTGCATCCTGTTGGAGGTTTCATCTCTCCCCAAAGAGCTCTCAATGAGTGTCAAGTTCACAAAGAAGCTAGTCCGGAGCCTGGTCTAAGGGCAGCTGATGAAAGTCAAAGGCCACTCAGCATCAAGGGCTTGTGGTCTGCTGGGCACTTTCCCTCCTTCCACTCTCAGCTCCTGAATCTCTCTTGCCCATAGTTGGCCCCCTTACCACTGTCCCTCCTACACCTGAAGCATGAGAGGTCGCAACAGCTTCAATTCCACACTCTAAAGCCAGTTCCAAGAGCCTGCTACAACTCGTAAAGTTCTGACCCTAACTCTGGCTCCATTTGCCTTCCAAGTTGGCCCTGTGGCTGAGTGTGCTTTTGGAGCCAGACTACTGAGGTGTGAATCAGTCAGTAGTGCCAGGATGTCATATGAAATAAGTTGATTTATCTCAAGTGCTTAGCACCATGAATGCAACCCCACCCCTGAGTCACCAGGTTCAGGGATGTCTATTGCTTCCTTTTGGCCCTCCATGTCACTTTCTGCCTGCCAGCCCACCTCCCTGCTTCCCTGCCCTACTGCCCCATCAGCCACAATATAAATGACCCTCCTGCCTATCACCCAGGACCCTTTCTACTGCAATGACAGAACTGGGAACTAGTTTTTGGCTAACACTTGGAGTCTGCCTCACTAAATCATGGAAGAGACCACTTTCCAAACACTATGAAAAATTTTTGGATTGACCAGTTATTCACTTGAACCTGGAGTCAGGGTGGGCTGAATTGGACAAGAATCCGTGACATTTGGCCACTTAAAGGGTACCATGAACCCTTCAGAAAACCCACTGCTGTTAGTCTTCTCCACTTGCTACTTCAGGATCAGCAGTCCCCTGATGAGCTTGGGCAAGCTTTTCAGGGAGAAGCTTGAGTGCCAAGGCACCCTGAAGACCAGCAGCAGAGGGCTTGAAATCTTGGTCAGTCACAAGTGTTCATCAAAGGGCCGAGGGGGGTGATGGGACATGGTGATCTGTAGCTGTTATCCTTACCTTGGTGGCTGGACATGGGATGCCATCCTTACTTTTGTCACTCCATGCATGTGTCTTATTTCACTGGAGACTTTTAAGATTTTTCCATTATCAATGAATTTGGGCAATTTCATTACAGTGTGCCTTGGTATCATTTTATTCTTGTGTGTGAGTGTGCACTTAGGTGTCATTAAGCTTCTCATACTTGTGGATTTATAGTTTTCAACAAGTTTGGAAAAATTCTGGTCATTATTTCTTCAAATATCTCTTCTAGTCCCTCTCCTTTGGGAAATCTGGAGCAATCATAGGACTCATCTCATTTATTATTTCCTGTTTCTGGGAATTGCTGTTCTTTGTTACCTACTATTCAGAGTTTTGAAAACTGTTATTTCATACCTTTTTTTCTAAATTTGGTTATTTCATTCTGGGGGATATATTCAATGTCTGCTATTCCGTCTTAGCCAAGAGATGTATAATATGCTGTTTTAAAGACACCTGATATAGCAGGGGCCTAAGGTGAGTGATAAAAGTGAAAGTAAAAGGAATAGTGGGGTGGGAAATGTGTCTTTAGTGAGATGCAGATAAATATAGGAGAATAAGGTTTG